GTTACTGTATCTTCTAATAAGATTTCAGTTACAATGTATCCTCGGGAGTCTTTTCAAAGTTTCACTGTTAATCCTCTTTATTTTTCCAGGTAGCACTCCATTTTGCCATTATTCCAAGTCCCACCCTTTTGCCTCCACTCTTCTCCTTTTTAGGGCTTTAAAATGACCAAGAAAAAATCTTTATTCTCCTTTTGACACTTAGATTTCAGCTTAAGGTTGCCTACTAGTGTCAAAATAGATTAATATAAATTTCTTTCCATACCATTTGTAAGTGTCAATATAAAGGTAAAAAAGGGGTTTTTAACCTCCTTTTCTCTCTCCTTCGCTGCTTAAAGATCTTCTTTCAGAAGTATCCCTCTAGGTATTTTTAGATTCAGGGTACCTTGCTTAGATGTTCTCTGTTGTTTAGCCCGGTCTGTCCTGCTTTCCTCTTTGTCTTCCTCCTGCACAATCTTATCCAGTCAGGTTCTTCTTTGAGGTGGCCATTTCTGATCACCGCTGCAACCGCCTTCAGGAAAGTGAGTTTAGACCAGCCAAGGAGGAGAGATGCGGCTCCCCTCCATTCGGCTAGCAATCTTCCCCCTCTTCACCACCTCTACGAGGGATCCAAAGGATCGGGGCGCTCCAGCGGCGAGCACAGATCGAAACCATACACAATTGCGGATTTTGGTCTGTCGCTAGAGAGACCCAAACCGGAAGTGAAAAAAACTGAGTATCCAAATTTGAAGTATTGTTTTAGTAAAAATATTTTAATCTGTTTTCACACTGAGTTATAAACTTATTTGGGTCTGACATAGTTCCAGTTTGAATTCATTGTTTAAAGGAGACTTCCATAATAAATGATACCATATGCCATAACTGCTGCTTGATAAGGTATTGACAAATTGGGTATGCCCCAGCTTGTTTCTGAAGTCTACATAAAAGTCTTTGGTTCATTTTCAATCTTTTTGCTTGAAACCAGAACCCCTCCCCCCCTCCCTTGGCTCTGGAATTGCAAATGGGAGCTACTGAAATAAAAAGTTTAGCCATGGAAGAATTTTCATTTTTACTGCTGTAATTCACCTTAAAATATTTAAATGTTTTGAAGCTCAATTTTTATTTTCTTTATTTAATTACTTCCATGCTGGTATATAGTTATTTGTAAAGATTTTATTAACATTTTATTAACAATAATAACAGCTAAATATTTTAAATTTTTATATGTTATTGGAATTCCTAAAACTAGGGAAATTTCCTGTGGAGTTTTGGGAAAAATATCAGATGTGATTTATTGAACTAACTGACATCTCTGCAAATTTTTCTAGCTCCTTATTAATATAACTGGCTAAATAAGAAATGTTTGAGCAAGTCAGAATCATATGATCTGCAAATGCCTTTAAAAGATTCATCTCTCATTTTCATCCCTCAAATCTGATTATTAGATCTAAATGCTATTGCCAACTCTTCTTGTTACTCTTCATGTCTGAAAAGCTGGAATAATGGCATTAGCATTGTCACATGAAATATAACTTATTACAAATAGTTAATCCATAACACTGTACCCATCCCACCAAACGGTACATTAGATGGAAGTTTTTTTTTAATAGCTTACATCATTTCTCTTTGGAGTAATTGAAATGCAAAACTTTAGTTCACAAACTAAGGCGGAACTAAATGCAAACAAGCTGAAACAAATAAAAGCACACATTCCAAAATTTCTCCTAAAAATATAAACACCCAAAATAAATAAATGAGCTTCATTGCTTGCTAGTCTGCTTCTGAATGCAATTCAAGATTATGATTATTTCCTATAATGCCCTACGTGATATCAGTTCAGATTATTTGAGGATCGCCTATCTTCCATGGTTTCTTCCAGGCCATATGTGCAAAGACAGCTGGCATGCTCCAAGTCCATTTGATTAAACAGTGTCATCTGTCACATCCCAGTAAGCATATCTTCTGTCAC